TGTTATTTCATCCATGAATTTAACATAAAAAATTTAATAATAGAAAACAACAAAACCTGATTTTAGAATTTCAATTTAATGTATATTTAGAGAATTGAAATTCATATGTGTAAAATGGAAACAACAGAAATGTTTAAATTAAAAGAAGCATAAAAAAATCAAACTAAGCCCAACATAAATTTATGTTCTACCTCTTCCTTAAAATTTAAACATGATTATCAAACAAATTACATCACACCAAATTAACTATAAAATAGTATAAAATAGCTTTGTTATCAAATTTGAATAATATACCTTGTCTTATTCTTTCTTATCAAATTTGGGCTTCTTCAAAAGGCTTAGCCTTTCCACCTAAATATCCAAAAGATAAATTTGATTCGATAAATTACAATATCAACATTGTTAATAATCATTAACAATAAAAATTATTAGAACTGGACATAAGGGATTCTAAAAAAAGCAAGGGCAATTGCGGGAAAAAAATCAAGGGCAATTTCCGAATTCTCAAAATTGCTTATTCAATATAAAATTTTCAAACCCTAAAGTTAGATTACAATTTTCATTCAATCTTTGCATCACAGTTAGGGGTGGAATCATGTCAGGTCAGGCTAGGATTTACCTTAAACAGGCCGAGCCTATATAGCATATAGGAGTCTGAGTTTGGTTGGTTAGCCTGTTTAAAAAAAATTTCAAAGCCTAGGTCTGACCTGTTTAAAAGCCTGACATGACCTGATAGTTTGTTTAAAGGTCTGCTAATGTAAAAAAAATATGTAAAAAAATATGTACAAATTAGAAAAAATTATTATAATTATAGCAATTAATTGAATTATTTTACATTGTTATCACAATTATTTTCATCACATTCCAATGTTGTGTAATGTATTCGAAGGATTTGTAGTACATTTGAGGTTAGAATATACAAAACAATGTATTTTAATATCATAATAAAATATGATATTGTTCTAATATTTAACATGAGTTATGTTATGTACTTAAGCCCAAGTCTAAACAATTAAATATTTAATTATTAAATAGCATAATCTCTAAGTCATATTGGATTATTTTTTTGTACATGTTATAAAGATAATTTATAAATATATAATAACATTACATAGGTCCCTGTTAGACTTAATAGACTTTTAAAAAGGTGTGAGTCTGACCTATTTCGGTTAAATAAACTTTTGATGAAGTCTAAGTCTGACTTGTTTATTAAAAAGGTCTGATCTGACCTGGTCTGTTATAGGTCAGGTAATAGGCCCCTGATAGGCAGTCGGGTCTGTTTCCACCCTTAATTACAACTTAGTTTTTGAAGGTATAATCTTCCACTACAAAAATTCTATTCACAGTTTTAGGCTTAAAATTTGGTACAGTATGAAGAATGTGCGACTCACGTAGCCTTCTCCTTTTGGTTACGTGAAGATAACAATTCGCCGCACCTGAATACTCATTATGTGATAGCTCACCCTAACCGTCTCATTCTCAGCCGGAAGGTAATGTCCTTCTTTCCCTTTTTAATTTTTGATTATTGATTTGTGACCTTTCCCTTTCTTTTTGATTCATATGGTTTTTAGTTGATTTTTTTGATGTTGTTTATAAATTTATTTATTTTTTGTTGTTGGTGCATGTGTTGATTTTATTTTTAAGTGTAGACATATTAGTTTAGATTTTAGCTTTTGTTATGATTGATTAAATCTAGATCTGGGAAATTATTGATTTTATTTTCTTCAGTGATTTTATTAATAATTGTTTTATATTTGTTGTGCATGTACTGATATGATGATTTTATTATAACTGTAGACATATTATTTTATATTTTCCTTATGTTGTGAGTGATTAATTATGTATCTGAGAAAATATTGATTTTATTTTCTTCAATGATTTCATTAATATTTTTTATGGATTTGTTGGGCATGTACTGATATGATGATTTTATTTTTAATTGTAGACTTATTAGTTTACATTTTAGCTTATGTTGTGATTTAGTAATTCTGGATGTGAGCATATATTTTCTTCACTAATTTTATTAATATTTTTTATGGGTTTGTTGCTTGTGTGTAATTTACTAATATGTTAGTTTTCTAATCCGGTTCCATCTTTTATAAATAAATAAAAATTTTGGGGCTTGACATTTAACATGATTTTAGCTTGGGAGAATCCTCTTGTGGCCAACTAACCTAAACTAATGTATGTGTAGAATAATTGTGGTGAGTTTTTTGTTAGGATAGTTTGTTGTGGATTGATTAAAATTTTATGTATTGATACCAGTAATCAGTTTTAAAAATTGAAGATACCAATTTTTAAAATTGAAATTGCATATTGAAATTGCAATTACATATAGAATCTTGTCTTACCTTATGCCATTGTGAATAAACTTTACTTTTCCTATATAGAATCTTGAAATTACATATTGAAATTGCAATTACTTATAGAATCTTGTTTTACCTTGCAAGTTGAAATTACTCTACTTTATTGTACGACATATAAGTGACTGACATATTAGAATAAGAATAAGTTGAATTTTTTTGTTGCAATTGTCTTAACTTCATAATCCATTAGCTACCCTTGTCAAATGCATAACTTACATTGAATATTTATTCAACTTAGAGTGATTATCTTTTTGCAATTATGATTCTTTGTCTTTTTTTTTGTTGCAATTATGATCCAACTTACACTGAGTATTAATATTTTTTTGCAATTGTCTTTACTTCATATCAAAGGTGTAACTTACCGTGAATATTTATTCTAGCGGGTTGTTATTATTTATTCCCTTGTTATATTCTTAAATCTTCACTATATGAATAATTGTATTTACCATACCATATATATTGTTATCTAATATGGGAAACTACCTTTTATAGAGCAGAATATTGTTATCTAATGATGTTAAAAGTTATAACACGTGTAAAGTTGAGGATATAGGAAAATTTTGTTATTCCCTTGTTATTTTTTTATAGAGCATAATATTGTTATTCCCTTGTTATTTTTTCTATTTTGAATATCTTGTCCAACAGCTGAATCAATGGTAACGAAAAATGATGAAGGAGTACCGTATGTTATGTTAGCTACTTCACTACTACCAAGCTCCAAATCTTCATCATCATCACAACATAGCTCAATGTCTTCATCATCACTAAAATTGTTGACAATATCTCTAATAATCACCATCTACATATGAGTATAAACAAAATATAAGATAAAAACATGGATACAGAAAATGTTGAAGAAAACTAGAAAATGTGCAAAGATACATACCTTAACTTGTGAATATAGTTTCGGATGACGGATATATATATATATAGGGATGTCGCATTCTGTCAATGCGACACCAATCTCGCATGTCCAAAATGCGACTTACCCCCATGAATCTCGCATACGGGGAATGTGACTCCTGTCAGTTTGAATGCGACAAACAGATTGTCGTGGTCCCCATCCACGACAACCAAAAAGTTGTACTACTCCCGTAATTAATTTTTAACTACACTAAAGCTAGCATAGTGTAGTCAAACTACATCATGCCAATAAATTTTCTCGGTATATATCTTATCTAGCAGTAATAATTTAACATGAAAAAGTATGACTCACCAGGATGATGAACTGAAAGCAACCCAATGTGTAGAACTGTTCATATAACAAACACAGGAAAAGTATATATGTATCAGTAAAGCAATAATATAAAATTAATTGCATTATTGCATAGTACAAATGCTTGACATATAAATTGCTTATTCCCCCTTGGGTTCAAGTTTTTAGAAAGTAAAAAAGTAAACATAGACATGGAAGGGTTAATAAAATAATCTCTTTACTGTAAAAATAATTATCATTACTACATCATTATAATTGTTACATAAGAAAGAAAATAATAGAAAATGGGGCAAATAAAAAAAATATCTAATGGAAAGTAATAGTGAGAACCAAAATTATTGGTGGATTTCTTTATACTTTTATAGGCTCATTAACTTTTAATAATAGTAAGAAACCATGACTTGCACGTTTTATTCAAAATGGAAAACTGTCATGATAAGCTTTATGAAAAAACTGCAGTAGTTAACAGGTAACTATAACATGGAAAGTGGGAATGAGAGAGAGTTTTAACCGTTGTTGATCATTTAAAAAATAATACATGAATTGAGTTTTGAGATAGTCATGAAATTAATATTATAATCCGTACTCTTAATTTTCTCTAGTTATAAAACTAATTTGTATAAAAATGAAAGGTTTATAAAAAATTACAACAGTTTCTCTATTTATGAAACTAATTTGTATAAAAATGAAAAGGTTTATAAAAAACTGCAGCAATTAATAGGTCATTGTAAGACATGAATTGGGTTTTCACATAGTTATGATTTCTATAAAAATGAAATTATAAATGATAAAGGGTAAAATAAGAAAACATAAATTGTATTATGAGTGGTTAATTTATGTTTCCCTTTATACATTGTTTTCCATTCTTGTTATATCTGAAAGAGTGTGGATTAAAGTTAAATTGGTGTGTTTATTGTAAATTTTCGGCTACAAAAAGTCTACTACTATAAGGTTTTATTAGATCTTAGGATGATCAAAAGATCAATTGTTTGATTCATAGGAGTGACACTTGTTGGAAGAAGTATTCACGCACTTAAAATGAATTAGTTTCATACTCAAAAGGTGAGAGTGTACCCTTGGTAGTACAAATTTTTATTTTACCAATAACAACCTTATTAAAGTTATTATCACTATATTTAATGGCTTAAATTAATCTTTTCTTCTTCATGGAATCTTAATTTTCTTTTACTTTTCTTCTTTTCAAGTGAGTGTGAATACCATTTTTTAAGCCCATAAAAGAGGTCCAATATTATTTATGTTCAATCTCTTTTACTTTTGCTTTTACTGTATAGATATTTATTTATTAAGATATTTCGAAATAACATAAAAAATAATAATAAATGTTTAAACATAAAATAAATTAAAAAAATATATAAAGAAGGAAAAACTGATTCTTAATCAGTTGAAGATGAGGAAGTGATCCCACTTTTTTAGGAGAAAAAAGCTGAGTTGATGAGGCCAGATTTTAGGCTATTGGGGTGGTTATCCCTACTTCTATGGGATAGAGGATAGCAAGTCTATTCCCATAAAAAGGCAACAGAAATACACAAAAGGAAAGAATCCAAAAAAACTCTATTCCTTTGTTTTCAATACATTAACACACAAGAACAAAAGGATACATTGAATAAAAAGAAAGAAGCACAGTTTCTTTCTTTTCGGTTTTGGATACCCGGCCAGCCAAAAGGTAAAGCATTTTCCACAAGGAAAAAGGCATTGGAGAAAGCATCATAAAGGAGTGCTGAGAGGAACAATAGTAAGAAGCTTAAAAGGTCAGTGTTTATAAGTCTATTATACTCAAATAGCTTGATATCATCATTGATTTATGGCTACTATGTTGATAACAAAAGTATGAATGAAAGTATTTTGTGTGTCTTACCTTCTTTATATGAAGCATATATATGTATAATTATATGAAACCAAACAATATCAATATGACTTTTTTTTATACTTAAAATCTCTCAAAGCAAAATAAAATAACTCCTTTTCCTTCACTATTTATTCATATAATCAAGAACTATACTCATAAGCATCATCTTATTTTTATGTAAACCATAATACATGATACATGGAGATCCCTTTTTGGGACATAGTACTAGCACTAAATACTCTTGTTATGAACATCCATGGATGAAGGATTGCCACATTCTTCATTCTCATCCACTTTGAAATTGTATCATTTTTCTTTTCTTTCTTGTTCTTGCGTTTTCTGCATAAGTCCCAATAAAAACATTAACACAGCCAACAAAATATCTAAAGTAACAAGCAAGACATCAAAGGCTTTAGTTAGGATTACCTTTACTAAAAAAGCAAATCAACAATAAAAATTCCAAAGCCAAATAACAGAATAAAGAACCATGTTAGGACCTTTAAACACACAGATGTGAATCCATGGGTTTTCAACTCAGGGGTACAGCCGCCGCTCATCTCCGTAACGGGTTCCGGGGTCTGTCATGAGCAGGCTCATGCGGCGGCTCCGACGTCTTCACAATGTCGTTTCCAAGCCCAACAGCGGTTCATGGAGGAGGTGCAACTAAGGAATTCATCTTCTCCCTTTCTTTAGAACCCCTAAATCCAATTAAAACCTAATCTCTTTCTCTCTTTTTTTCAGATTTGTAGAATGGGCTCTGGGCCTTGTTGTTGTATTATTTTCAGCATTTACTTATTTAAAATTATGTTTCAATAACTCTATTTAAAGGGACTATTATATATGTACAATAGTGTATTTATTCATTTATAAATAAAACTCTTCTTTCACTCAACAGTGAATACCCAAATAAATCATACCTTTTTTATTTTTAAATTTATTACTAGTGTGGTATTTTAATTCTTACTTTGAGTCAAGAACCGGTCGCGGTCATTTGTACTGCTTCAAACCATTCACTTATTAATCTTCTCTTTAAAAATATTTAAGTTATTTTAAAATAAAAATATTTTTGGGATTCAATAGCGAGGTTACAACTCGTATTGCATCTTTCTTCCCACTTCGAGCTGAGAACTGGTCGCGGTCACTTGTACTGCTTCTGCTATTTATCAAAGTAAGAAGAGGGTAAGCAGTCAATGTTGACTCGTCGTCTATTAATCCCATTTTGATTAAATTTAAACTAATTTTTAGTAACTGTCGATCAAACCAATTTTTAATCAAACCAACAAACGATTTTCTTAAAGAACTACGTAGTCTTGATTTCCCTATTGCACCTAGGGATACGTAGGAGCAAGATAAACTCTTGTCAGACACAAAATAAAAAATAAATATTTTGTTTTTATTCAATTTAATTTCAATAGAGTAAGGGTAAATTAAAAGCATGCAATTAGTTAACGTACCGATTAATAACGGGCGGACGGGTGCTAATACCTTCCCAATCCGTAATTGACTCCCGAACTCATAACTCTAACATGAAGACCAATTTTATCCAATTTGGGCATAATTTGAGTTTTCCACGTTTTAACCGCAAAAGACGTGGTGGCGACTCCTCAAAAGGTCGCGTGGCCGAAAATCCGGGCGTGACAGTGAGGTAGACATTTTTTTAATTAAATCATTCAACATTTGAATTTTTATAAAATTAAAGTATATAGAAGAGTTTTTATACCAAGGTAGGTCTAAGTCATTATCATAGTCTCGAAATAGAAACTGGTCATATAACCAATTATTAATCTCCATGTCTCATTTTTGTTTCATGATAAATTGTGTATTATTATTGCTTGGTTATATATTAAAAAAAAGTAAGGAATGCACAAATTTAACAAAGTAAGAGTGTTTACATTCTTCTAACTAAATTTTTATGGGTTTGTTGGGTGAACATCCAATTTTGTCAAATATATTTACAAAATACAAAAATACAAAAATTTTAAAACACCCTAAATTTACATATAATTAAAATTATGCAGGTATATATATACCAAAATATCTTCATCATATTTACATACTTTTAAGAAACAAACTCTTGTTTTTTCTTTCTTCACTTACCTTCTTTCATTTACATACCAGTTATGAAATAAATTATCGGAGAAAAGGTACAAGAGGGGAAGTTTTTTTCGGTTTTCTGAGAATGAAGAGATGTTGTTGAAAACAATTAAAAAGGGAAAATATATCCTCATACTAAATATATCATTTTATTAATCATCATAATTATGAGAAAGTGATATGTTAAAATAATTGAGATTAACTAGTAGTAGTTGCTTTTAGTTGGTTAATTGTTAGTTTAGACAATATAGTATATAAATGGACATACCCCTTATTTTGTATCTCATCCATTTTTTATCAATTCATTCAATAATGATTCATTCATTTCAATTCATTCTTTAAGCTTTTCATTCATATCTTTCTCATCTTTCTTGTTAATCAAGAAAGCTCTCTTCTTGCATGGCTCCTACCATTTTAACATATGTCATTTGCAAATCAATCACTAATAAAAATAAAGTATTACTTTGTATTATATATCAGTTTTTTTGTATGTAAAAATATTAGTAGGAGAATATACCATTACTCATTACAAAATGGGAAGAGGCAATAAAGCAAAGAGAAGAAAACGGTTGAGTGAGAGAGAGAATAGTGTGGCTACTATGGCGGACATCAAAGAATAATGATCATCTCCATTAAGTGTTCAACTTCAAGGGTCAATTTCCTTAAGGCATAGGAAAGTATATTGAACTTGCATAGTGTTTTATTCAAGTATAAAATCTCACATTTGATACGTGGGGAGAAGTAAAAGAATTTATAAATAGAAAATGTTAATGAAACTTATGTCTTAAGGTTTTGGTTCAAGACGTGGTGCATCGCTTGTGTCTCTGTACTCTTCCCATACCACGGTGTCCCACACCTTGTCCAAAACTAATGTCTTAAGGTTTTGGTTCAAGACGTGGTGTATCGCTTGTGTCTCTGTACTCTTCCCATACCATGGTGTCCCACACCTTGTCCGAACCAATCAAAACATTATTGTTTATTATTTTTTATTTTTAATCTTTTATTCATGTAGCCGCTTGGAAGCGCCTCCCTAGAGAGCAAAGCCAAAGATTAAATGGAGTGAGATGCCCTATGAGATATGTGATATGTGTCCTTATATCCCATTGTTATATTATTTGCAACAAAAGATTCTTATGAAGTATAAGTGCAATTTGCTCTTAAAAAAAAGGTGTACTTGTTATTATTGGTGTTGTGGAAATGGCAATGACTCCTTATCCATAAAGGGCCTCCGCATGTCTACTTATTCATACTCTCCTTGTACCTTTCTTGCTAAATTCCTTTTCTCTTTTTCAAACTTGTTAGGTTGTTTCCTATAATTTTGTAGTAATAATTTTTTATAGTTAATCATAAATAAAAAATTGTTTTAATGGTATTTGAATAGTGGGAAACTGATCTATGCCCCGTGTCGTCTCTTCCTTTTTACTCCAACTAATAGGTTACTCGTGCATTCGCACGGGTACTAATGTATTTTGCATGAATTTATTTAAAGAATGAAAATATAATTTTTAATAAAAATGGTATTAAGGGTTGATGATGTTTATGCATTTAATTGCCTTATGAAGAAAAGTTTGGAAAACAATATAAAATAAGTTATAGAATATATGTTAGAGATTTTGAAAAATTTCTTCATAAACTACATTAGTTTTTGTTTTTAGTAATCAATCATCCTTATTATGTATTAATATTTTTAATCATTTTTTATTTGAACGCTCAAATAACTACGTACAACTCATCATTGTAACACCCTAAATTTGAGTCTTCAAAATTATAGTAACAGTCCTGGAAGCCTCGCTTGAGCGAGAGATTTTCGCCCGAGCGAGAAAGGATCACCTGGGAGGGTGAAATCCTGGGCTATACTGGAGGATTCTCGCCTGAGCGAGAGTTGTCTCGCCTGGGCGAGAAATGGCAATTTCGGGCTGTTGACACTATTCTGTTTTTTAAAAACAGTGTAATCGATTACACAATCCTGGTAATCGATTACATGCTGATAAACTAATCAGACCTGTGTATTTTACATGATGTAATCGATTACACTATGTAAGGACCCAAATTCTACCCTTGAAAGTTTTTCATTTATTTTAATCCTTTCTTACATACAGTCGTCACCTTCATTGAAAACCCTTAAGTATCACTCTTTAAACATACTCTTTACCCTATTATATTATCATACAAGGTTATGTTGCGGAAAAACATAATTCATTCAAATAATATTTACCACATACAACCAGTTATGGGTATCCCAAAGTTATAAAGCCCATAACTACACATATCAATATTAATCTAAACGGATTTACAGTCATCCCATAATGTTATCAAATTAACTACAACGTGAAGTAGCAAATAAAGACAAATAGGTTTATAAACACAAAAGCTTCCTAAGTGAGTTTCTTCTCAAAATCCTTCCTTTACATGCAATGAGATTATCATAAACAACACACAAAACAAAAGGGAGTAAGTCATTAGTTCAAAACTAACATCACATGATAATCCACATTGAAATACAATTAAGCATTGATATAAATCATAACCACAAATAAGTAAATGTAAACGTTCATATATCATTTCTTTCATTTCCACGTTATTCATATTCGTCCTATAGTATATATATCCCATAATATATATTCTATAGCACGCCTACTAAGTTCTTTCGAAACCTCCTACTTCTCATCATTCATATCCACCCTATAGAATATATATCCCATACTATATACTCTATAGCATGCATACGATTTTCATTGTGACATTCAGTTCTCATCCTTCATATTCACCTTATAGAATATATATCTCATACTATATATCCTATAACATGCATATGACTTTCATTACTCCGAGTCATCTTTTCATTGGGCCTCCCCCAACAATTTTACTTTCAATTGAGTCATCTTTTCATTGGGCCTCCCCCAACAATGTTACTTTCATCGGAGTCATCTTTTCATTGGGCCTCCCCCAACAATGTTACTTTCATCGGAGTCATCTTTTCATTGGGCCTCCCCCAACAATGTTACTTTCATCGGAGTCATCTTTTCATTGGGCCTCCCCCAACAATGTTACTTTCATCGGAGTCATCTTTTCATTGGGCCTCCCCCAACAATGTTACTTTCATCGGAGTCATCTTTTCATTGGGCCTCCCCCAACAATGTTATTTTCATCGGAGTCATCTTTTCATTGGGCCTCCCCCAACAGTGTTACTTTCATCTAGACCTGTCAAAATGGGCCGGGTATAGCGGGCCGGCCCGCCAAGGCCCGAGAAGGTATAGGGTTTGGGTACTAAAGTTTGAGTATTTTAGTTAAACCGGACTTTTTAGCCCGGCCCGGCCGAGCCACAATAAATTCGGGCTCGGGCCGGACTTACCCGTTCAGGTTCGGGCAATTGTCTACTCATTTTCTTCCCTATCATTTGGCTTTTCTTACCTGTGCATTTTACATGATGTAATCGATTACAATATACTCGTAATCAATTACAAAAATATGAAAAGCATTAGTTTTGCTGTTTTCTAACAGTGTAATCGATTACACAATCCTGGTAATCGATTACATGCTGATAAACTAATCAGACCTGTGCAATTTACATGATGTAATCGATTACAATATACTCATAATCGATTACAACACATTAAAAGCATCAGTTTTTGCTGTTTTTTAAACAGTGTAATCGAT